AAATACTCAGATTTATTACTTTTAGAACTGTGTTGACATGTTGTGACTTTAAATTTGCTAATTGTACATCAATTACCCCCCATTCATTTCCAACGAAAGTCACGTGAGTGATTGAGTTAACAATTCATGATTCGATTCGCTGTTGTCCTAGTCAGAACCATTAATTGTTCTAAAAAAAGTCAGTTCTTTACTGTTACACAACGTCATATACTTATAAAAAGTAGAGCTTGTCAGAACTTACGGGTTACGGACTATAGACTGTGTACCTGTAAGCAAAAGAAACAATATTACAGTTATGGCATCATGAAAATAGGTTATTTTCACTTACACGTGCTACATTCCAATTAGTTACCCCTTATAAACGAGCAGTCGTGTTAAAATGAACCGCAGGATTAAAATGTACACCTAGATACTGGTAAAAAAAGAGAATTAGCTTATAATGTTGACTGTTGGATCTAAATCAAATATTCCTTAATATAGCAATTTTTACAACCATGGTCCCGCTTTTTGACCCYTTGAGCGTGCGCTTCTAAAAGAAGCATGTATCCAACCCTATCATAATACTATTATTTTGGGTCACTCAATGCAAACGAATTCGCGAAAGGTCACAGCACCTGTGTCTAAGGCTTACGTGGGGACTAACATTATTATTTGSCTTCAACTCTTGTAACGTGTACTATATTTATCTTCTCACTTACCCTTGTAGATGTCACGTATTGGCTGCTTCCATTTTCTTAAGCAGAGAATAAAAGCCAGTATTAACGCAAYCGTAACCAGAGAGCAAACGACCACTATGATTATGAGTAGCCAATCAGGACCAGAATGAAGAATTGATTCGTCTGAAATATCAAAGAAGCACAATCATATGTAATCATGTACTTATAAGTCATGTACTTGATACTAAAATAATAAAATGAATTTATAATTAAAGAAAGCCGAAGTTAAGATACTTTGTTCCCTCAATATGTGTAGCTAGTCTCTCATCTTTGTGTGATCCCCCCTCCCCCTTCTCATATTGATACACAAGACAATAATATTATATAGCTTATAGTTATAGTTATATATATATCAACTGGGTTATCTGTTCACAGAGAGATGTATGCTAAGCAATCTGTATGCTAAGCAATCTGTATGCTAAGCAATCTGTATGCTAAGCAATATGATGCAAAAAAGCAATACTACTCTGATCTCATAACATCATGAGGATCTGATCAGCATCAATTATTCAAGATTGTTGATTCTCTCAATGAAGGAAACTCTGAGAAACAATTACCAACTACCAGCTCAGCAGATACTCTTATTTACTAATATACTAATTTACTTTATACTAATATTTTTGCTGATTAATTTCTTCCAATCCAAGATACATGTAATCAGACAAGGCCTTTCACAACTGTGTACCAAGGTGACTAATCCGTTACCGGGTACGTTTCTAGCTCAAAGTAAGAACACTCTGGACGCCTTCACACCTGTTACATGTGAGGAACTGTCCTCATTGATAAAGAGGATATCTACCAAGTCATGCAGACTAGAACCACTCCCATCAAATATACTTAAAGAATGTTTCCCGCTTGTACTTCCAGTTAGAACAGAGATTGTGAATGCGTCAATAGAAAGTGCTACAGTACCAGATTGCCTGAAGTGTGCGTCTCTTCTCGTCTCAAAAAACCATCTTTGGACCCACGCGAGTATAATAACTTTCGCCCAGTTTCTAACCTCAAACTTGTCAGTAAAGCAATTGAAAAGGTGGTTGCAATTCTAACTAATCGAAACGTATTGGACAATGACTTGGATGATCTTTACCAATCTGCCTATAAAGCRCATCACAGTACAGAGACAGCATTGATTAAAGTGCATAATGATATCCTTAAAGCTCTTGATAGTCAGAAATGTGTTATTCTTCTGCTGTTAGATCTGTCAGCTGTATTCAAAACCGTAGATCACCACATCTTGCTGGAACGTCTAAAAACAAGGTTTGGCATCGCTGGAAAAGCACTCAACTGGCATTTAAAAATCTTATCTCCCTGATAGTACGATCTCTTCCCTTTGGGGTCCTACAAGGGAGTGTACTTGGGACTGTACTATTTTCTATGTACATTTCGCCTCTAGGAGACCTCATTAGGTGTCATGATTTGGAGTATCATCTCTATGCTGATGACACTCAACTGTACACAACCTTTAAAGTCAACTGTGCAGAAGAAATGAATGTGGCAAGATCTAGGATAGAGACGTGTGTACGAGATGTCGATGCATGGATGACTTGAACAACCTCAAGCTTAATACAGACAAAACAGAATTGTTACTATTGAATGCATGCCATCGTCCTCAACCACCTCTGAAATCGCTGTCAGTATGTGGTGATGTGATCCACACAGCAGCTGAAGTTCGTAACATTGGAGCACTGATGGATTCAACTTTGTGTATGGACCAACATGTCACGAACATTGACAAAACATGCTTATATCCCTTAAGGAACATTAGTAGAATAAGAAAATATCTTACTCGCAAGTCTGCAGAAACATTAGTCCATGCACTTATWACATCTAGGTTAGATTTTTGCAATTCTCTCTTATTTGGACTACCAGACTATGCTATCGAACGTTTACAGAAGGTTCAGAATTCAGCTGCTCGTATAGTAACTCTTACTSGCAAGTATGAACATATAAGACCTATCTCATATGATTTACATTGGCTACCAGTCGACGAACAGAGGATTAAATATAAGATATTACTATTAACATATAAGGCTCTTAATGGACAGGCTCCAGGATATATATCTGATCTAGTTAATATCTATAAACCTAGACGTACTCCTAGATCGTCATCAAGTAATAATTTAGTCATGACTAGTTATAATTTACGATCTTATGGTTATAGAGCATTTTATTATGCTGCTCCTTATTTATGGAATTCACTGCCTCATGATATCAAGACTGCTGGCTCAGTTTCCAGTTTTAAGTCTTTAATTAAGACTTACCTTTTTTAAGGAAGCGTTTGCTTAAGTATAATTATATAGACAATGTATATATATACAATTTATACTTGGATAAACTATTTTTAAATATACTTATAAGATAGATATTTATTTAATTCAATACGTTAGTGATACATAATTGTGTTTATTTTGTGTTTTATTCCTTCCTTTTTCCTCCAATCTTTTATTATCATTATTATTATTATCATTATTATTATTATTATTATATAGCTTCAGTTGTCAACACCTAACCAAACTAGGCTTGCCTAACTCTTCTTGTGAATATATTGGCTTTCTTCCGGGTAATTTGACACAAGCGCTTGTTTCTTGGTTTCGATTCTTGGGTAGGGTCACGTGTTGACCTTGTTGTATTCTACCTACTCGGTTGCAACATACCCTTTGCATGTGACATGAAAGAATCTCAATTTGGAGGACAAAACAAAAGAATTTTAATCTCCTGGGAATTGGAAACCTATTGGCTTGTGTGCTGCAAGAGGCCTATTTTATATGTATTCCTTTGTTTTCAAAAATCATTTCCACTCGACCACATGTAACAAAAGGCAACTACTCTGACCAGCTAAATAATAATATAATAATGTAATCTTTCTATATATATACAATAAATAAGTTCCAGAAAGCTATTACATTAATTAATACTGAAATGGTCGACTATGCTGATGCTTGTGCTGAGATTTTCTTTTGTGAAGTGAGCAACATCATACAATCCATCCATCCTTCTATCCATCAGTTGCTCAATACACATGTAATCCAGGCTATTGCAGACCAAAAATAAATGATGATCATTTTGATCATATAGTAAACATACCTTTTTTCTTGCAAAATGAAACGGATTTGCGTTGAAAAGCTAAAAAATTAAAATAATTGATATATCAAAAAATATATAGTCAACCATATAACCCCCTGACAGCCCTTGAAACGCTGACCAATCATCAACCAAATAAATACGAAATCAAGCAATCTAGAAAATTAATGAAATCAATAAA